AAGGTGTCTATCAATATGCTAATTTTAACAGGTTTAGTGGTCATTTGGAATTGAATCCATTGCTCTCCCTTGCTGATCAAAGTAGTTAAAGGCCTAGAGGAGCAGCATTAGGAATCTTACATGCAGCTCTGCTTTTGCTGCGCTACCAATGAGTACCAGAAAACACTATGGAGCACAAATTCAAATTACTACTCGATTCCCACGTGAGACTGATTCCCAGAGCGTGAACAATGGTGTGGGCAGTGAGGCTGGAGAGCCTACATGATGCTAGGCACTATGTGACATGCTAAGGCTACATTCTATCATATGGGTTTTACACAGAAAGGACTGCAGTCAGATTTGCAGGGTAGATAAATGGCTCTGAGGCTACGTAGGTGGATAGAGAGGTTAAGGATGGTTAGGTCTGGAGAAGTAAAAGAGAACAGCAATGGGGGGGGCAGAGACTCAAATCCACTGAGGAGCAACTTCCTTTTACATGCCTCAGAGAGAGCTTACTCTCACTCGGTACATAGGAAAAAACAAAACAGATTTTTTTCCTAAATGGACCCTGCCAGTCTTCTGTCTCAGGAATGACCCCATTGCTAAATAATTCAAATCACAAATTTTGCTTTTACTTTCTTCATTTCCTAAATGTATTTAAGTAACATATCCCGTGGCTTCTAACTCCTTGTTATTATTCTACCACAACCCAGTCCACTATTGTTTTTGCCACAGAGCAACCTTGTAGCTGATATGGCACACCTACTCCTGAGCCTGAAAACACATTCTTCATCTTGCTTCCAGAATGATCCTTGCAACATTATCAATCATGTTACCATCTTCTTCAAAGCCTCCGTGGCTTCCCATTGTTGTGGGATGACATCTAAATTTTTTGAAACTGCCTACAATTCCTCTCAATCTGGACCCTGCTTGGTAACAATAAAAACCTCCAGCATTACAGTGTCCTTGTGAGCTAGGCACTGTTGTCATGCTTTGCAGGCATTATTTTGTTTTATCCTTACAGCAGCACTGTGAATTAAGAACTATTAGCATCACCCCCATTGTGGGGATAAGGAAACTGAGTCCAACAGTCATATGAACTTATTCATAGTTGTACAATAGTGAAGTTAACTTCACAGCATATGCTCTTACATTTCACACTCCCCTCAAACTGTGAACTGCAACCATCCTGAACCTCACTCAAGTCTTAGAACTCAGTTACTTACTCGCGCCATGAAGCCTTCATACAAACTATTCTCTAGATCTGGATCCCTACAAAAATCCTACTGTATTGATAATCGTTGATAAGAAAAGTGCACTGGTGTGTGTCCATAACACTAGCACCTGGCAGACTGAGGCAGGAAACTCTGTCTCAAAGTGAATGAATGAATGAATGAATAAATACTAAATCTCCCTTTAAAGGCATTTACCTCAAGGAACTCTTCTCTTACTAGATCAAATTAAATGTTCATTTACTTCTTTATGACCTGTTTGCCCTCAGCAGAATATCCAAATCTTTACCACTGGTCCTCAGTTCTTGCTATGGAGTTCACTATTTGTTGCTCAAATGCATGCATGAATGAATGAATGAATGAATGAATGAATGAATGAATGCTCCAAAAAATAGGAATTTCACCTAAGCAAATTGATGTAAGACAGAAAGAAGGCAAATAAATTTGTTTATCCATTGGATATTTATTTAATAGCTTCCAGGTCCCAGTCAACACTCTTGAGAACTTAGAGCCCTTCTGGGGAAGACATTCGTATGAAAATGAGATTACAGAACAATTTAAATCAAGTATCATAATAATGGCAGCAATAAAGTATAACACATGCAGAACAGAGAATGAAATGTAAGTCTATAGGAAGCCACTACAGGTCAGAACACTGATTCCTTTAAGACAACACATTAAGCTGGAAAAACATTTTAATCGCCTATATATTGCACTTGTGAAAGGGGGAGGGGCATTCACTGGCTATGGCAGCATTTTGCATGCCGTTTCATTCCCACAAAAGCTGTGTTCTTATCCTGATTTCATTGATGTGAAAATTGGACACAAGGAAAGGCAAGGAACTTGCCCAAGGTCATGGCAGTAAATTAATAAGGAAGCATTTGAACTTAGGTCTGCCTCTGGTGCATGTACTTACTACTTAGGCTGCAGTTCTGACACAGTGCTCCCGGTGCCTGAATACTTTTATTTTCAATATAAAAAAATCCATTGTCTACTTTCCCACTCACATACAAACAAGCAGAGAGATGAAAGGCCAAGAGACACCAAAGTGAAGTAGAGTGACAACAGGGGGTGCCAAAATTCCCTAAATACTAAATGAAAACTTAAAACTAGGGCTCATGTAGTTCCATAACAGTATTTGATGTGACTCCATTATTAAAACATAACTATATGGAGGCCTAAAAGAAGCGACTCCTTATGCCAGGGATGGAATGCACATATATTAAAATTAATTCCTTGCTGGAAAAATGAATTATAATAGTTGATTCTAAAGTGTTTGTAAGGAATATTTCAAGATCTTAGCTTTTTAATTTTATCAATATGATTGTTTTTCTTTTGTTTTATTTAAATTCAAGCTACTACAGAAAACTGCCATATCTTAACCCACAATCACTGAGCATTCTTCATATCTATAAACATTTCTCCCATTCCCTCTAATAAAACAGGATAAAGTGATAGTAAAAAAAATGTCAGGAGATTATAGTATTTTAAACCTTACTGAAATTACAATTTAAGTAGGTTCACATGTGGAAACACAAAAGAAACAATTTAGGGGAACCCAGAAAATAACGGAACACTAATGTATTTCTAGAAAATGCCTACCAATTGACTTACCTGGGTATAACTTTTCTTTTTATTATTTTTTTATTTTTTATTTTTCAGGCAGGGTCTTGCCATGTAACCATGTACTGACCTGGTATTCATTACGTGTCCAGGCTGGTCTTGAACTCCTGGCAGTAATTTTTCTGCCTCAACCTCCTGAGACTACTGAGCGTCAGCTACTACACACCTAACTTTGGGTCCAACTAGGCAACCTGAACATGCTAAGTCCTCTGTGACTTGGACTGGCTTTATTATTTTCTAGTTTTGTTTTATAATGTATTTAGAAAATGAAATCCTGCCTTTGTTGTGAAAAGCCAGGAAAAAAAAAAAACTATTCCGACATCCGCCAGTTAGCTTGAACAAATATGAAACATTTAACATCAGCTTCTCACTTTAGAGGCTTTCAATGAGAAACTTTCCACACAGAACACTGTAACAATGTGAAAACTTCACTGGCTACACTTGGCAACAAACAAAAAGAAACACAAGGACTTGACTTATAATTAACGTTCATATATATTATTTCCCACCAGCAATGCCGTTTCTGCCTAAAACGCCATAAAAACAACTCTTGTGTACCTGTTTTTTGAAAATCGTTTTTAGTTTACACTGCTCAGTTTGGGCCCAACATTCAATGTTTTACTGAACCCTCTAGTGCCTAGTGAAGTCATATTAAGAGCTCACACAATAACCCGTTACCCGTTGGAAGCAAAAGCGACGTGAATAGCTACAAGTCCAATTTCACCGTCTAGTTATTCTAACAATGCTCTTACCTCGACGCTCTTGAGAATGAACCCGCTTCTCTCTCTCACGTCTTCAAAGGGACACCTCTTAGAAAGCATAAGCAGATGAGCAAGCAGCTTATTCATCCCATCCAAAGAAACAGCATTTGAAAGACCGTCTGAAGGTCGATAAAGCGTCTCTTTTACTGAACGAAGGTATTCGGTTTTTCTCAAAACGATCTGCCTAATGTTTTCCAGTGCTGTCTCTCTAGTACTCGAATCTCTACTGCACAGTCCCTCCCATCTCACTTCATTCTCTCCTTCAGCCATGACAATCGAAGAGCTTTTCTTCTGCAGTCTTCAGTCGCCTTTCAGCATTCCCCCAAAGCAATTTGTTCTTTTTTAAACCGAGAAACGTAAGAATAGAGTCAGAGAAACCCCGGCGTCATGAAAACAAGCGTCTGGGTGGCACTGGGAATCACACGTGCCTTCCAAGTTGATGCTTTCGAACCGATCCACAAGGCGGATCGCCCTTGCACCCTCTCCTAAACGAAGGGGCAGTCTTCTGACCAGAGATTGGAAAAACAAAGTGGGAAAGTTGCAATCTTACAGAGCCGATTAGCTGGACAGGGAGTCTCGGGGAAGTGTTCTCTGTGTCGCGGGGTCAGCGGATATCCTCGCGTCGTGGAGCTGTCAAATCCGTGCTTGGCCCCGCAAGGCTGGTAACAGTAGAAGGCTCTCCAGCCATTCGGGGGTTTTTGTCTGTGCGGCGGCCGGTTCTCCAGCGCGTTCCCACCCCGCCCCTCCTCCGACACCAGTCTCCGCCCCCCCTCGGCTCCTCCTAGCGCCTCGGCCGGGCAGCGGGCGGGCGCCGGCGGGCTTGGCGACAGACCCTCACCCCTGGCTGCTGGGGCCCGAGGCTCCGCCGCTCCGGGGACGGCAGTGTCCACCGGTCGCGGTGTCAGCGGCCACGGAGGTCAGCGTCCCCGACCCTGCCGGCTCCTGTCCCCCGGGACACACCGCCGCCTCTCCTACCCTTCTGTGCTCGCCCACCGCCGCCACGCCGGAGGGCGCCCCGCGACTCCGCGGTCCCCGAGCCCCGGGCTACGCTGCGAAGCACAGGGCCGGAGGCACAGAGCCCGCCCCTTCGCCCAGCCCCGACGGTGGGGCTCGGCCCAGAGGGCGGGAGCAGGGAGGGGAGACGGGGTCCTCACCCCCAGCCCCTCCCCTGTCCCCGCCCGGGACCGCCAGGAGCCGCCCCTGCCCCATGCCTGCCTCTCCGCCCAGGACTCGCGACCCGCCGAGGCAGCCACAGGGAAGAGCCCCGCCCTCGGGCCGAGCACCTCCGGACCCCAAGTCCGCCGCGCGCCGCCAACCCATGCCGGCTGCTGCGCGTGCGCGCCGCCGGGGGCTGGGGTGGGGTGGCGGCGCATGCGCCCTCGGCGGCGATTTCCGTTCCCGACGTTTGGTGGCGCTGGCCTGAAGAAGGGAAGGGGGAAAAGGGAAAGTAAGGAGCACAAATGCCAGGAGATGTGTATCGCGCGAGAAAGACACGACAAATAAAGGGCTCGATGGTATCCCTAATAGAATGGGGTATAGTTGAAGATTAACCTAAATTGTGACGGCAAGACCCCAGAGTCGGTAGGCAGGGCGTCTTGGCGCTGGCTTTTGGGAAATGTAGTTGCAATGCTGCCGACGGCGTCTGTTTGCGACAGAAACTACAACCCCCACATGCCACCGCAGCACTTGCCGCTGCCGGCGAACCAACGGTTCTGGAGGCCAGGGTTCACTGAGAACGTCCATCTGGTAAGCGCGGTAGGCTTGGCGGTGACCTGTTCGTTTAAAGTGTTTTTCCTTTCTCCATTTCCTCCGGAATTCTGGAGCCGAAGCCATCTGGGATTGCTGCCTTTTAGGCCAGTGCCTTTCCCCAGTGCGTTGCGGGGAGAGAAGTGCAGGTGCCCAACACCTTCTCGGTGGGTGACTGAGGCGAGGGTTTGACGATCACAATCTGAAAGGTCGAGGAGCAGCTTAAGCCAGACAAACAGGGAAAGGCTCCATGCTGCTGCCTCCGCAGGCCTCTCGCCTGTGAATCCGTGCTGGCTGGACTGGGGATCCCTGTGCTCCGCAATTGCACTTTTGCTCTCCCACGGATTTTTGTGCTGCATTTCCTCAGTCAAATAGAATCCGAAGGAGAGCTCTGAAAGCAAGTCCGTGTTGTGAGAGACTGAAAAGAACGCCCAGTGTTAGGTTTGAAGTCTAACAGGTTTTGAAAGGTTCTGTATGAAAAGAAGCCTACAAAAACCTCCCAAATTTATTATCTTTGAATGATTCAGTTATTTCTCTAAAGGTGTTTTGAAGTCATTATACTTGAGAAAACTCAGGTTTGGAAGGCTTGTAGTAGACTGGTAATCAGATTAAATTTTAATCCTTTGCTTTGCTGAGTAAGTTTAGTCATAAAATATTAACCAGGACTTAGAGAGATTACTCAACAGTTAAGAACACTTGTCCTTACAGAGGACTGGGTTCGATTCTCAGCACCCACGTGGCAGCTCACAACCATGCTTAAATACAGTTCCAGAGGACCTGATGCTGTCTTCTGACCTGGGCAAACACCAGGCATCCATGGGGTCACCATCATACATGCAACCAGCACAATCGTACATAAAATAAATTAACAAACAAACTAATTGGGCCTTGAGTATGGATAACAGTGAAAAGGATACACCCTCATCTTATTAGTGTGTAAAACAAATGTATAAATCCACAGTTGTAATACCGTTTAATATTGTTGGAGTGGCTAGAGGAACATTTAGCCTGGCCTTGGAAGTCTTCATCCCAAGGGAGATAAAGACCAAAAGAACAGCATTGAGGCTTCAGCCAACTAGTATTTGCTGAGTATCTTCGGTGTAATAGGACATCATTGAGCAGTATGCCCCTAAGGTCAGAGCTTGTATTCTAAGAAGAGACAGAAAGTAAGTGATGGAGAATACATGTGAAATGATGACAGCCAATTGGGAAGTAATGGAGAGTGCTTGGTTGTGGGGGGTGGGAAGGTTCCTTTTTCTGTCTGAGGAGGATTGTTGCTGGGCCACACAAGCTGGTTGCCTGCCACCTCAGGACAGTTGTTAGATGAGCTCGCAGGGTGGGATCACCTATATTCAAAGGCCTGCAGTACTGAGAGGGTAGAGGGATGGAGCTTCTAGTCTCAAAGCTTGAGGGGATCTAAAGGTTGTTTTGTTTGCAGGCTTTTCCAATTACTTATCTGCAAGTTAATTTATATGCTTTGCAGTAATTGAGGGAACAGCAGATACTGTTTGTCGTAGAAATAAAGAAAGGAGGGAGTTGCTGACGTCACTGGCTGTTGTGGATTCTAAAGATGATCCCATAGCTGGCATCATGATCATCTAAGTGGGGCTTACTTCAGTCTAAGCACTAAGGAAAGAAGGAAGGAATGGGCAGAGACGTTGTGGAAGGACTGGGTCAGAGGAACCTGAGTTACAGAACTAATTGGAAATAAGCCCCCAGTGGTGTATATCTGCCGTCCCTTACTGGGGAAGTGAAGGCAGGAGTTTGAAGACAGCCTGGGACCTTGTTTCACAGGAAGCAAACCAGTAGAACAAAAGGAAGGGATTGCCACTTGCTGTCATGGAAAAGTGTGCACATTTGTATATGAGAGGGTAGAGGGCAGTATATTGGCCACTTGTCTTGGGATATAGAAGAGAAATGAGGAAGACTTAGCTGTAGTTTGAGGTTTCTTGTAATGTTTGATTACACTCCTTGAAGTTCAATGTATTTGGAGTTATTGGCAGGTGTGATTCTGAAGGAGCAGCCAGCTTAGAGGGGAAAACCCCCAATGTGTTGTCCTAGAAGCAAAATGAAGAAAGTTCAGAATGATTCTGTTAAATGTTCTAGGCCCAATGAAATGAGAACTGACCACTACGTTTGTCAGTGTAGAGATTAAATAGAGGTTATAGGAAGGCATTGCTTTGGACTTGGGCTCTTGTGCTGCCCCACCCCCAACCCCCAGATCAGATAAAAAGAAAAAAAAAATCAAAATGGCCATCCCTGCTAATGTTACACATATCCAAACTGAAGCTAAGTTGTTACTTTGCCTGAGAAGTCAGGAGAATGAGAGGAAATGGAATTTCCCAAATTAGCCATTTGGTATGACATCCGTGTTCCTTCTGCATTGATCCCTACATTCTTTAGTCCTTCCAAATAATAACATGAAGTGATCTGATGCTAACTAGTTACTTCCTTGTGTGCTGTCTCTCTGCCCTGACCTTTGGCAGAAAGTTACTTGAAAATGACCAGTCTGCTCTGGCTGTTTCTGCTCTGTGTTTTAGCCTCTCTAGCTACAAAGCTACATTCTCTGCCACCCACTGAAACATTCAGCTTATTTTATGGACTTGAAAATAAAGATGATTTAAGGCTTTTAAATTGTAACTTTGTTGTTTGAGAAGACCATTGACTGTGTTGATAAGAGACACAGAATCTCTGTTTCCTTTGTCTAGACTACCACATCATGTCTTTGACTCGTCTTCCTTTGAAGATCTTAGCTCAACTATTTTTTTGCTCAAAGACATGTCTCTAATTAGAGAAAGAAACAAATTTGCTCTTACTACGGCATGTATCTTTATTGGCTAATGTGTTACAAATGCATTCAATTACATTTTCCACAATATGATTGGCGCCTGGCCCTGTAAAGGCTGAATACCTGAGAGCAGCTAGTGTCTGGTTCACTCAGCCTGATTCCAACACAGACTCAACAGATGCTTGACGTTTGTTGTGTGTGCTGGCCCTTGTTTGATATCTCAGCACTCCGATACAGGAGGATCAGAAGTTCAAGACCAGCTTGAGTTACTTAGCAAGACCTTGTTTGGGGAAAGGTGAATAAGCATTGTACCAATGGGTGAAAACACTTTCTCACAGTAATTTCAAAAGTACTACATATTGTTTATGAAAAAGGCTAGGTGGCTGATAGGTGGAAGAAAGTATATAATGAAAGCATTTTAGAAAAAATGTCTATTTTTATGAGATATTTATTAAGATATCTGCAGAGCAAACAATTCTTAAACTGTGATTAAGTGAAACCAACTTCATAAAAATGCCAAGACCAAATCATCCACAGATCTCAACTACAAGATCACCTCTTCATCTGTTCTTCTCTTTCCTAGCAAACTCTTTCAGATGTCATAGTAGAATTTATCTCCCTCGAGTATTTCGTTCACTTACAGATTCTTGCACATTTTCATCCTTGCCTACGGTGTCATCACTCATTAACCATAGTTTGCTGAGTCCTGCCGTGTTGTAATACCATTTTTAAATACCATCCACCCACTGGCCTACTCTGCAACAGCTGGCCTACCTAACATTTTAACACCAGGAAACAGTTCTTTTGTTTTTCTTTTTAGGATGATTTTAATTAAAATAACAAGCTCTAAGATCTCTGGGCAATGCTCTAAAATAGAGTAAAAACTAGCACCAGTGTTAGTTGCATATCCTACTGGTGTGCAAGTGGTCCCTTTAATGAGAGCAAAGGCTCTGTGGTGGCCATTCTTTGTCAGCTTCACTACATCTGGAATTAACTGAAAACCCAGTGACTGGGCACATCTTGGAAGGATTTTTAGTTAATTGTAGTATTTGAGTTCAGAAATCAGCCTAAATCTGGGCCACACCGTCTCACAGCAGCCCATAGAAAGGACTGGGAAGAAAGACACTTCTGCCTGTCACCTGCTCGTCCTCATTCTCACTGGCAAGTTTTTCTAGCCCGCTGCCGAGGCATTGCAGCCTGCTTCTTTGGAATTCCAAAGATGTACAATAAAGACAGCTGAGACGTCCATCCTAGTGGATGGAGAACTATTGGATTCTTAGACTTTCCACTGAGAGACAGCCATTGTTGGACTAGCTGTGTGTGTGTATACATGTGTGTGTCTGTGTGTGTGGCTCTCTAGAAGTTTCCATGTGATTCTACACCCACCTTCCCCCCCCTTTAAAAAAAAAGAAGTCCTTACTGAAAGGAAGAAACTGAGGCACAGAGGTAAAGGGACTGAAATGAGATTAGACTGTAGGGGAGACGCATGGGAACTGGGTTCAGAAACCCATCATTCCTCTGGAAAGGGCAAAGCTAGCCTGTGAGGTACATATCTGTGATCTCAGCACTTGGGAACTGGAATAGGAGTTTCAGGGCCTTGTGCACTCCATGCAAAACTTGATAAGTTATTAAAATAGTTGGAAATACCTGCCAAGTAAATAGCATATTGGTTTTCCTGCTCGGTTTTTTTTTTTTTCTTCCTGTAGGAAATTTACACGAGAAACTATCATTCCTTGGAACTTATCAACAAGAGAAAAGAAGGTCACTTAATACTGTTAAGTATTAAATTCAGGGCCAGCTTGGCCTACAAGAGACCATGTCCCAAGGGAGAGTGAAACTTACTGCTAAGAAATGTGGTGCTCACCCAAATAAAATAGAATTGCATTAATTTTTAAAAATGTAGCCCTGCATGTTTTGTCCAGTTGGAAGATAGGTTGAGCATAAAGTTCAGTGGTAGCTTAGCATGTACTCATGCCCAGGGTTCAGTCTCCAACACTATAAGAAGAAAAAGCAGGAAGGATGGTTAGGAGCAGTTCACATTGTGCTCATCTGTATTCCCTGCTAAGTGCAAGACTTGGACTGAAAGGCTGCTTGAAGCTAGAATTTCCAGACCAACCTCTCAGAGCCAGCACAGGACTCTGTGTATAAAAGTCTGAAAAGATATGGCTACTTTACCAGAATTGTGCACTAGTCAGGGAGAAACTGACCTTCA